ATTCCTGCTTACAACCAGGAAGAAAGCCAGGCTGTGTTGCCATGAGGACTGGAATTGCAGGTGGATTATGGGATGTAATAAAATGTGAAGAAAAGGCAAAGTTCCTGTGCAAAGTGCGGGCAGAGGGAGTAACGCTTCCACCTGTTCCTACAACAACTCCTGTTCCCCGGTGTCCAGAAGGTTGGGACTCAAACAGTCGTATTAGCTTCTGTTTCAAAGTAAGTATGTTGCTTATTTCTGCATTAAGGTAGTTTCTATTTGCTGCACATACATGCAAGAAAAATTGGTATACATATGTCTCATACGTTTCATAAGCTTAATGACAGATTATATGTAGAGCTCTTGTTGCTTGCTATTGAAATGCTCATGGTTTTGTTCCTAGTTGTTTTCTTGCAGCAGCTGCTCCTATCAGTAATGCAGTTTGCCCACTTAGATTAAAGACATTCATGCTAAGGCCGTGTTTCACAGAGGTGAACACTCATAAGCCCTATATTCAAAGTTTCTGTAAGCCCCACAGAACAAGTTAATTGTAAATGAATTGATTTTGAGTAGCTGATGTTTCTTGATCTTGCCATCTATATGGTCTATTTTGTCTGAATTGCAAAATGCTCTCTTTAGCCTTTTTCAAGAGGAGAGCAAAAGAAAACATGGCTTGAATCTCAAGAGTTTTGTCGAGCTGTAGGAGGAGATCTGGCCTCTATTAATGGTAAAGAAGAACAGTATGTGATATGGCGTTCTATTGCGTGAGTATCTGTAGTGTGGTCATCCATTCATTTTAATTAGCTTTTTTGATCTTTCTGAAATATTTCATTTTAGGTGTATGTTTTTACTTCGCTGTAAGCCAGTCTGGTCTGGATTAATTATCTGCATCTGTATCAAACACATAGCAAAAAAGTAGAGATGACGAAATAGCAGGAGTTGTAAAACTAGTGTCAATCACCCCAGAAGCTAATGCTAAAATGAGATTGGCAAGATATCTAGTTGAGGCAATGTTTATCATCTGATGTAAAAATATTTACTGTGGATGTGGGGATATAAAATTACCGCAGATGCCAGTTGTTTTCACATAAGCAAGTGTACAAATAGGGTAAAACTTATGATATAAATCTGGTCAATGTGTTGATTGTCATTTTTATGAACTAAACAGAAAGCAGAAGCAATTTCAGATTCATTTTTTCCTACACAGGGAATGTAAAGAAGGTTAGTAAGTCCCTGAACTGTAAAAAGCAGGTGTAAGATTTCTGAATGAGATCAAATACTCTTAAAAAGGTAACATGAGCTGAACAGACTGGGCTCAATGAACTTTTATATGCCTGTCTAACTAGGAAGCAAGACTGAAACATGGCAGACTTGCAAAATGCTACAGCCGTACTAGAATCCCAGCTGTGTATAGTGATAACAGCTAGCAGTGGTTGCATTTTAATTAATTTCCACCCTAGTTGTTATTGTTTCTAACAGCTTTAGGGATTATTTTTAGAGAAACTTATTAACTGTTGTGAATGATAGATTATTAAAAATACTGTAATGCCCTTATTGGTGTTGGTTTTATGTTTAAACTTCTTACAAATGGGACATTTATTATTATTTTATTTTTTTTTTTTTTTTTTAAGGAACAATGGCTATTACCATCAGCATTTCTGGATGGGCTTATATTACTTGAATCCTGATGATGGCTTTGTTTGGAGTGATGGATCTCCAGTGAGTGATTTAATTTTCCACAGCTGTTGTTTTGCATTCCCTATGCTTCTCAAATATGTGTGGTGTATGTGTTTCTGTGTAATTTTATGCTTAATCATAACCCTCTACTGTGTCATGCTCACTTCAGGAAAGCTTATTAGTAGTAATTTCATGGCTTGATTTTTTTGGCTAAAACATACTGATTTTTGATAAGAAAATGTGCATTAAATCAACAAGAAAATTAAATTCATTTAGACTAAAAGGATGTTCTTATAAATGCAAGGATTTTTTGATTAAAATAGCCCATCTTTAGTATTTATCTTCTTTGCTAGTTAGATCTTTATCTGAAATGGCCTACACTCCATTGAGCTGAGGGGAGTTTTTTTATGCCAATGGGACTTGACTGTTATTTAGATTAAGATATAAAACTGTAGAAACATAAGTGGTTTTGGAGATGTGAATGTATCTCCTGCAAGGTTGGCCAAAATATATTGGTGGAAGTTTACCATACAGAAAACTGAAATTGGAATTTATACAGGAAAATTAGATTAGCAGTAATATTTTTCTGAGAAAAATACCAATATTTTTGTTGTGTCTTAATAATGTCCTACTCTTTTACTATTATGGGATATTTACTTAATTTAATATCAACATGTAACATGTCTCATCATTATTATTAGATGAATTTTACAGAATTTAGGTCCTATAAAAACGTCAGTATTCTTCCAAGTGTGATTGGAAACAATTGTTATCTAAGCTGCAGTCCAGTTGCAATCTCCAAAAAAGTTTGAAATGTCAGCATTTGCACAGACAGATTCTTGTTTCCTCTTATCTAAGTTTTTAAACTGACAGTAGAAACAAAATGATGTCTCCTTCCTCTCTCCATTAATTTCTTTCTCTATAATAAAATCTTCACAAAACCTTTTCTGTCATAGGTGAGGTATGAAAACTGGGGCTTTGGAGAACCCAACAATTACCAAGGAATTGAACTTTGTGCAGAGATCAGTGGTGATTCCAGCATGCTTTGGAATGACAGGCACTGTGATTATCTATATGGATGGATTTGCCAGATAAGAAAAGGTATCGCTTACTCCTGTATATTAGTATAATAAGAAAATATTCTCAGTTGATTTTTTTCCTTAACTTTAAGAAATAAAAAATTTCAAAACCTGTTTATCGGAATGGTTCCCTGAGGAACGTGAAATATCGAAGTGGTATAAGGATTTCCATGTCTTCGATGCATTTAAAGATACAGAGCCTTCGGTTCCCTGATGGGACTTCTCACTGGTATTTCTCTGTGATTTCAGAAGGGGAAATGTGATACTTGAAAAATGGGAAATGTTACTTTGAATATTCACATTAACTTTTGACTTCATTTAGAGAAGTTCATGCCTTCTCCAATGAATCCTATTTTGGAATTTTTTTTTCTGAGTTGAGCTTGAAGTTATTAGAAAATAGTTTGCAAATCAGTTCACATACTTGAATTTTTATGTGTGAAAACTCCTTCCTTTACTTGGCTCAGGTATTGTTTTGTCATCTAATCAAAACTGTAGTTGCAAAATGGAGCCAGTTTTCAAGATACTTTATTTTGCTTTGACTGGGTTTGATATTCACATATTGGTTTCTTGCTAAATTCTATTAAGTTCTGAGTTTGGATGTTTCTTATTTTCTGAAGATATCAAGACAAAATTTATAATTTAGGGTGATCTTGAGTTCTACAAACAGTGCATCTACCTAAGTTTGTGTATGTTAGAAAGTGGTCATTTAAACATTTTACCACATTTGTGTATTGGGAAGGAGGGGAGCAAAATAAAGATGCTGCGTTAGTTTATTGACAATAAAGTACCAGCTCTGCTTTATATTGGTAAAGAATTTCTTAAGCAGAGATTTTTTTATTAGATGCCAGTATCTGTGAGATTACATTTTAGCACCAAATAAATTGTTAAACCTATAAATACAAGATCTCCTGTATTAGAAATTGTTTTCCTGAGATACTAATGATGCCATCCAGCATGCCATCTCCATGATGCCATAGCAAAAAGAAACAGGGAAATTCTTTAGCCTGAAGTCTTCTTTTCAGAAAGAGCCAGTTAATTTCTTGGGTTCTTTTCCAGTGAGATTCTAGGGAAATTTTTAAGATCCAGATAGTTCTTCTCAACCAAAGAAAGATGGAAAGAATCTCACTCTGTAGGAGCTAGGGCACCATGGAAGAAGAGAACCCAGCCTGCATTTCTGCTGCCTCTGGTTTAAGCCAGAATTCATGTTTAAGTGACCTGGGGAAAGGAAAGAGAGGGGCATACAGGACTATCTTAATAGAGTTAATGCTTTGGGACATAAGGTTTTCTGCATCCAGTGAATAACAAAAAAAATTACTTAATTCAGGTAAATTTCAAGGTATTTTATAATACCTTGCACGTTAGGAAGAGCTTATATTTACAGCCTCACAGAACAAGAGTATCTGTTTAGAATTGAACAGTGTAGAAAATAAGAGATTTAGGCTATTTAGTTCCTTCTAGTTTTTAGTTTTAAATCCATTGCTAACCATAAAAGTCAATGTCAATAGAAAAAGATGCCTATCAATCACAGTAAATATTTTATCTTACAGCAGAACGTGTGGAATCATAACGAATATCTTTTTCTTACAGGGGCAAGTGTAAAGCCTGAACCAACAGAATCTCCTGCACCCAGTAAGTGTTATTGCTATTACTATTTTTGTGTATGTATGTCTAAAAGCATTTTTAAAACTTTACTAATGAGAATGTCTTGCATCTCAGGAGCAATATAGTTAGTTTACCATTTATCTTACAGAATACAAGACTACTGAGGATGGATGGATTATACATGAAGACAAACAATATTATTTCAGCACAGAGAGTGTTCCTATGGAAAAAGGTCGGGAGTTCTGCAAAAAGAACTTTGGAGACCTTGCTGTCATTGAGAGTGAAAGTGAAAGAAAGTTCCTCTGGCGATATGTAAGAAAAATCATTAATACTATGGAATAAATCATCCAAAACAAGTGAGCACGGGCACAAATCCTTTTCACCCTGGTGTTCTCCCTACAGGTTTTGAGATAGTGAAATTGCAGTAGCATTAAGATTAATGTGAAGAACAAATTCAAGTCTTTTTTTTTTTTTAGATTGTTTCATAGCTGAGATGAGGACAAATTTGGTTTGGTATTTTGTATAGAAATAAGCACAGTAAGCATTAAACAGATCATTATCTGCTTTTCCTATTCAATGTAGTAGTAACACCACATTATATCTATCTGCAACTAGTAATGGGCTAAGATAAACCTTAATGCTTACTTTTAATTGATCTGTGGCTTCATTTTAGCAAGAAGTATTATACTTGTGAGCTACGATTCTGTAAGGCAGGTGAGTTAACTGTAAGTAAAGTTTATCAACAGATAAACTCAAGATATCTGAAGTAGTGGATCAAACCAGATATTGGCTTACATGCAGTGCTCAGACCATTGGCTTTTCGTCTTGTCAGTCTATCGGGGATGTAGTCTACCTAGCAGCCTCTTTCTGGTGCTCAAGTTTGCCCTTTTGCCACCTCCTCCTTGTGGGGAGAATATAATTATGCAGGAAGAACAACTTGAGGCATGGATTATGCCACGAGAGAGAGCTTTTAAATGGTATTTCCTAGGTGGCTGGGGTTGATTGCCTGTTTATACTGTCTTGAGGCCAACTTCTTTTAATCAGGAATGTGCTTAAAAATCATATTTGAACTACAAAAAACTTTTCCTGAACTGGCTGAAGAGTGATAGTGAGATGACACAAGGGCCTATATCAATTTGTATCCAAATTGTAAGAAGGCTTGTCCCTTGCAAGAAATTTGTTAGATGATGTCTGCTGCAGAGATTGTGCAAGAGGTGCTGATTTTGGTGACTTTCAAGTAAGACTGTGAGAAGTGTTGATATAGTGACCACACCTCTTGGCCAGTGGTGAAGTTTGGCTGTGGACTGTCAGCTGGGAGCTGTTTTAACTTACATGTTGTAGCTAGAGAATATAGCAATTCATATCCTCTGTCAGTCAGACGTATATCACTCATTATTAACATAATAGATTTCTATGATAATAAAAGGACATTTATACAATTTTAATCTTTAAATTCTAGATCTTGAAAAATGGCAAAGAGGATTCATACTTCATTGGTTTACAACTGAGTGTTGACCAACGGACAAGGTAGGCCAACTAAAACCATCAAGCTTGTATCATGCTTTAAAATAAAGAAATCTACTGAGTGGAGCAAAATTAATGAAGTGCTTGAATGAAATTGTGGCCTGTCAAAGCAAATGAGAATGTTTTTCCTCTGAATTCTGTGGGACTTTCATGCTTCCTGTTTTTTGATTATGAAGGTTGTAAAAATATATTCTGTAGTAAATATACCACAATGTGCCATTATATTTAATCCATTTATTTTTAATCCCATTTCAGTTGTTAGGCATTCTCTCCCTACTAATAATACTGTTATTCTATATTTGATTATAGAAGGAAAAAACCTTGGTTTGAATCTTGTCCTCAGCTGTAGTCTGCCTTGTCCATACTCCAATATAATATAGCTAATATAAGGAATTTTTAAAAAGTATTTCCTGATTATACTGGTGAACTTTTTTCTTCATAGACCAGCTCCTCTTCAAGTAAATGGAATTTCTCCCTGACACCACTGGAAGCTAGAGTAGATCCATAAACTCTAAAACGTAATTTATTTTTTAACAATATAAAAGCATTCACTTTGTTTTTATAAGTTTACATCAGACCTGTTAGATTTGGAAAGTTCTGCTTTACTATTTGTTTTAAGGTTTTGTAGTCTGTGGGACCAAACAAGTTAACTCAATAGGGCATAGATTTTCAAAGGACATACCTAGTTTTGAGTCTTAATTTAAACATGGTTGTATTCTCAAGTGGTTTAATTCCATGTTAATTTAGCTCCAGATAATCCAGGAGAAATACTACTTGTTTCCTAAATGGAATTCACTCAAACTAGCAGAAAAAATACACTGCAGATAATGTATTTTCTGCATGTCAGTATGCAGGACCATATTGATTTCTACATGTGATGTTAGTTTAGGCCTGGATTCAGTTCAGTCTGGGTCTTGAAGTGCCCAGATAGGTGCCAAGTTGTTTTTGGTTTTCCTTACAGTCCACAGTGACAAACAGGACCCTCCAGAGGATAATTAGGATGTTAGGTGGGCCACATCACCTTCTGAAAATGAGGTGTCTGCCCTTCCATTGTTTTTGTAGGGACTCTAAAATGAATATGCTTTTAATTGAAGTATCTTATGTACGTACCTGAAGGGCGAACCTGGGCACCTCTGTCACTTGCAGTCCAATAGGAATATGTCACCTAATAAGTGTTTGGCTCCTGGTTTTGATTTTGTTTATTGTTTAATCCACATGGATGTACAACTTTTTTGATGTTTGTATTTTACCTTATGGTAAGGCACATTGTCACAGGAATTTCCTTGCAGGTGGTTTGTCATGCCCTTTTTCTCTGCATGGAGGAAATATCAAGCATTTTACCAGTGTTACAAATAAAATCTCTAATCACTGTAATAGGCACAGGGAATGACTTGGGGGAAATGGTGAGCATCTAGGCTCTCTCATGCTGAAATGATGTCTAGCTTTCGTGTTGGCTTGAATGATTATTTTGAGTATTGTTCTATCAGTTGCAAAAGTATAAGCATATTGCTTGAAGTTGTGTTGACTGTATTTAACACATACCATGTGTCTTTGCTCAGAGAGTAAGTTTAGTGCAATTAGCAAAGAGGCAAATTGGTCAAAAACCCTTGTACACCCTATACTATGAGCAGCTATATTAAACATATTGCAAAATTACTTTTTGTAACATGAAAACAGTTCTGTTTGTATGTTAAAGAAGTTTTTTGTTGGATTGTTTTTCTTAAGCTGGATGGATGGCACTCCAGTGAATTATTTGGCATGGGCACCACACGAACCGAACTTTGCAAATAATGATGAAAACTGTGTAGTTATGTATAAGAATTTAGGTGAGTTTTGTATGTTTCTGAACTTCATTATTTGTGTGTTTGTGTCACACTTTTTTTTCTTCTGAGAGGCGCCCCTTCCGCCTCTTTTTTTTTTTTTTTTGTTCTTTTGCAAAATATTGTAGAAGTAGACCATAGTATTATATTCAGGATTTAATAGTTTTGAGCTCTTGTGTTTACCTTAAACCTGTCATGGGGAAGCTCTGATAGAGGTCTGTGGTTGTGATTGCTATGCAACTCTTTTATATGTTTTATTAAAATTGGCCTAATGTGCCACTATAAAATTGATATTTCTAGTGCCTAGTACTACACTGCTTTTAACATTCTGTAATTACAGTGTGTATAAAGTGACATATTTATCCTAGATGCTGACATAGAATGATAATAAACTGAGACACACTGAGGATTTGATCTTCTCTTTCAACTAGAAGCCCTTTGTGTAAGAATGAATGAAACTGATTTCCATTTAACCAGCTCTGGATGTGATGTCATACAGTTTTCCATTTATCTTACATTCAGGATTTTGGAATGATATAAACTGTGGTTATCCAAATCCCTACATATGTGAAAGGCACAACAGTTCCATTAATTCAACTATTCCTCCAACAACATTTTCAACTCCAAGAGGATGTCATCCAACTTGGCTTTCCTTTCATAATAAGGTACCATAACAAATAGAACGAGTGTTGGATGTTTGGCAAAACAAGGGAATTAATAATATTGTCTCTTATTAAAGTAAAAAACTATTCTTTTTTTCAGAGAACTGGTTGACACCTCCATGCTTTTCTTTGCCCATCCACTGTTTTGCAGGAAAGGTGCTTTTCTGATGCTTCTTATGAAGTGGCAGATGAGCATATTCAGTTGCAGTTCATGAAAGTCATTCTCTAGTCATCTCTTCTAACCTTTCGATATGCATTTCCTAAAGAGTTTAGACATAATTCCTGAAGTATTGATGCTTTGATCTTGATATTTTTTAACCAAATCATAATGCTTTCTCAGAACTGAATACATTTTGTCTTCCTTAACTTTACTAACATGTTATGCTTTGTAGAGTCAAATAAATAAACAGGCAGACTAATATCAGTCATGCATAACTTACCACTGTTAGCTGACCACCTATAAAATTGGTTTTTGCTTGTTTTCTAGTGATTTCAGATCAAATCTAGTATGCGTCTTGTTGAGCAAAACACTTTCTTGAGACCTTCAATTTTATATAGAACAAGGACCAGCACAAAAAGCTCATTTTAAGCTGAATGTGGTTTTGTTTTTCCAGATAAATGCATTATTTTACTGCCTTTTCTCCATCCTGCTTTGCTTAAAGCAGTGGTTTTCAATCTGTGAGGGATATTGGAGTAAAAATAATATATAGAGAATTTGTTCATGTTTTAGTGTTACAAAATATTTGGATCTGCAGAAGATGAACGTGTCACTTGGCATGCTGCACGAACAGCTTGCATGAATTTAGGAGGAAACCTGGCCACTATCCCTAATGAACAAGTGCAAGGTACTGTGTATGGTTTTGTAGCAACTAGATGAGATGACATTTAATCTTTACAGGATGGCTGTTGTATTTGTGTGAATATGGATAGGATTTGAATAATGACTACACATCTGATTTTTGTTCCAAAATGTACAACTTTTGGAAATTTACTATGAAATCTTCACCTGAATCTACTGACTTTTAATGTTGGCTTAGATATACATACACATATATATTGTCCTGGCAGCCAAGGTAGTGCTTTTTCTGCTTACACATGATGCCAGCTGGACCCAGCAAGTTCCATTCTAAATGATGTATTTTCATTAGGTGGCATTAACTCGCTGCATGGCTTTCCTATTAACTCAAGCAGAACACCTTTAGGATCAGAACTTGCTGTCTCTGGGCAGCTTGGGGCAGAGGTTTGACTGCTCATACACCTACCCACAACTCACCACAGAGTTGTACCATTCTTTTCACTAGAGAAGCTTATTTTAATGAACCTAAGAGGTGCATCCGTGACTGGGGGAGATGAGCAGAGGGAAATTACCTCATGCTTGAATAAACATGGCCCACATTCAGTTTAAAAATTGGGGAAGATTTTGATAGAAGTTAATAACACTTTTTTTTTACAAATACTGTTTTATACTACAGTGATGAGAAACAGATGTGGCACAACACATACTGTTTGTGAACTCAAAAGAGCATACTGAAAAATCAACCATTGTAAAACAAGTCTGTGTTGTAGTCTGAGCAATTAAATAATTTAAATTTAGACTGCTGACATGAACTTACTACTACTTATGTTTTCCACATGTGAAAAAATGAAGAATCAAACTTTCACTTTTCAAACATAGTTAAATTCTTATCCAACGTAATTTCTGCAGTACACATTTCAGGTGGTTCATGCATAGGGCTTGAATTTGAGGTAAAAGAGAAATAAGCAATAAATCTATTAGCACAAAACTATTGGTATTGCTGGCTATGTAGGCATAAAGGCTTGAGTTTCTGTTACAGTTTCTGACAGAACAGCAATGCTAACATTTGACAAAGAAATCTACAAGTTTCATTCCTGGAAGTGTGAGTTGCATTCATTTTAAAAGACTAAAGGAAGGTGAATGGTTGATAGAGCAGACAGAAATTCATCTATTGTTTGCAGAGAAGAGTATGCTTATAACAATGACTGTAGCAGTTGGCAAAAGCCATATGTTCGTTTTATCACAGTGTGTGTTGTATTGTGGATTAGCGGGTTGATGAATGCCAGCTGACCTAGCCTGCTCTATTTGTGAGCTAGGCACGCTAGCTAAGACAGACAAGCACCTTCCTGGGCTGTGCAAAGCTATGGTAATTGATTTGCTTGTGATGAATTGTTCTGTTGAGACTCATTTTAAGCATGTCGCTTGTGCATTCTGCTCCCTGCTAAGACAGAGTGGGCTATTGCCTGGGTGTTCCAGGGAGAGAGGAAATAATCTCACAGTTTTGTAACAGCACTACTCTGATGCCACTGGGTGGTAAACCACTCTGATGGGATTATCAAAAATGTATGTGCTCTGCACAGCTGTATATTTCTGAGTCAACTGTGGGACTAGGATTCAAAAATATCTTGAGACATTATAAAAAGCATTTCTGTCATGCTTTTGGGATTTATCCCAGTATCAGGTTAGCTACTTAGCTGAAGGATTTTGCCCAAAGCCACAGTTATATATCTGGTTCCCTGTTCATTAAACTCAAAAGTCACCTCCTTTTCATCCTACCTGCTTGTGTTGTTAACAGTGAAGAGTTCTGTATTTCAGAAAAAAATATTTAATATCACCAATCTTAGTGAGGCCAAATATTTCAATTGTCCTTCATTAAAAGTATTTCTCTTTTTCTTTGCCTTTTTTTACTCTAGCTTTCCTCACCTTCCATATGAAAGATTTTGTTACTGATACATGGATTGGATTAAATGATATAAATCATGAACTGAGGTTCCTCTGGACAGATGGAACAGGAGTTTACTTTACAAACTGGGCCAAAGGCTTTCCATCAGGACATGTAGATTTATACTCATATGATGGCCAGGTAAATAGCAGTCACAAATTGTTCACTGAAATTTGATTTTAGATTGCATTTACGCATTTGTTGGGATTTGAGACATGTTACTGCTTGACATTACTTTCATACTTTTATATGTGTCCAATATAAATCCAACTACAGTGAATGCTATTGAGCCCTTGGGCTGTTGCTGTATTAGCTGGTGACAGGATACGTGAAGCGCTCATACAAAGACTATTTTCCTATTTCAGTTCTCTGTGTCCATGAAGGCTTCTGTGTTCACCTCGCGTTCTTTCATAGGCTTTGGTAAAGACAGCAGTGGGATTCCTGCCTCATGGCATTTGCCCCAAAAGCACACTGAATGAGCACATCCTCCTAGTCCTCTGACCATGTTAGTGCCTGAACTTAGCAGGTTTCTCAGTTGGCATGTAGCTTGCAAGGGGCACTTACAAACATTCCCCTCAAACAGCCGTGTCTTATGTACCAGCAAATTCTGTCAGTCGCATTCGTGGAAAGGAGATGCTTCTATAAAAAGACAGCCATTCAGTTTTTGTGAAGGAAAAAAAGAGAAAAGCACTTCCCCTATTTCTCTGTCATACAAACTGGTCTGATTGATAGGTCACTCTACTCTTATGTGTTTCAATAGTTCTGTTCTATGGAACTACAGCGCATTATAGTACTAGCTCTGTTTCTCTGGTATGCTATTTTTAATATAGAAATCTTATTTTTATGTATAATGTCCTTTTTTCCTGTTTTTGAAAGTAGCACCTCTGAGCTTCTTATCTCCCTATGGAGGGAGAAAATTTGGGAGAATTTGAAGTTCAAAAGAGAAACCATGTTTAAAATATTACTTCTGGGAGGAACAATAGATATTTTTCTTTTTATGAAAAGTAGCAGGATTTCTATGAAGTCTTCTGTGAAAACTTATAAAGTCCCCATTTTATAAATTTCAGATTTCTTTTTAAGTTTACTTGACCTTAGCAAAAAATAAGTTATCAAAATTAATAAAAAATACTATGCAACTGTTCAGTTTGAAATATTTAAATCTTAATGCATTTCACTCACAAATGAAGTGTTTCTCTGTGCATCTCCTTCTGAACAGCAAAACCAAATAAATAAATAGAATAAAATAAATATGGATGCATCATTGCACGAAACCATTTGTACACATGCAGCCTTTTCCATTCATCACTCTGTTTAATATGTGGTAACATAGGTTCTAGCTATTGTGTCCATGTCAGAGAAGCTGAAATGTCACCGTAAGGGTGGTATTGACAGATCAATGGCTGCCTTTGGGCAGGAGCAGTTCTAATTTTGCTGTGTGTAGTATTACAGATTGCAACAATAAATTTGAAGAGACTGATATGTCAGAAATATTGCATTGCCTATTGAGACTCCAGGTTTTTCTTCTGGGGCAAAGTGAACTAGTCTTTTCTACAATAGTTGATTTCACTTCTCTTTAAATCTTCTGTGGCTTTCCTGCTCTCTATGCTGTATGTCTGAAGATATAAGAATATCAAAATTTCTTTGGTCTGCTTATCCACCCCAATGTTGCACAAGAGAGAGCAACATTAAGAATTTTGTGAAGTGCAAGAGAAAGAGGATCTCCACATCGTGAAACTTATACTATTAAATGTTAGAAGGATATGAGGGTAAAACTACAGCATTACTTGTGTCTGAAGATGTAAAAGGGGGACAAAAGTTTTGTGTTTGCTTCTTCTAGCTGTTTGTAACTGGTTTCATATCTTTTTGCCTCGAGGCTGATTGTGTTGTCATGAGAAACAATCCTGTTAAGGAAGCAGGGAAGTGGGCTGATGAGAGTTGTGATAACAACAGAGGATATATATGCCAAATTAATGCAGGTACTTGTCTTTTTAGTTGAAACACAATAACACCTTATGTTTTTTTTCAGGGAATTGCTTGGGTGTGTGGATTTCGACATTTCACTTCCAACATGCATCCACAAATTTTTTTTTCAAGCAGGAACACAAAGGTCGTGTGTCAGAGGTCCAGTTAGAGTCACTACTCTCAGCTGACTTGCCAGTAAATGCCATGTTACTACCTTCCTGAGCTGGAATTTGTATCTGCATCTTTGTGTTTAGTATGACCCTTGACATGATATTTGTTCCATGTTTTTGTCTGTCATTTTCTGAACACATTGGCTTTAAAAATATGTTCTGGAAAATACTGACTCGTACATGTACAAGCATGAACAGTCTGGAGTGTGACTGTAACTCACCCACACTGAACTTGAGCTAATTCACCTATGAAAAAAGAAATTAAAAAGCAGTGAAAACCTGGATTTAAATATCTGATTGATTTTTAAGGACTGGTCTGTTGTGGAGTTTTCCTTTTCTCTGGCAAAAACATCCCTGGAAAACACCACAGTCTCTGCAAAGCATTTCTTTTGATGAAAAAAAAAAAAAATTAAAGAAATTGTGACGTAAGCTAATCCTAATTCATTTCAGTAATACTATTCTGGAGGATTATACAGAATACTCCTTTAATTCTTGTCAGGGGTTGCTTTAAGCAGCTCTTTTCCTTTCTACAGCTTTGTAATTGATTTTTACTACTGATCCTGGCTTAAAAAATAATGCCTCTAACCCATGCTGATCAAAAGTCAGGGAATATAAAATAAAGAAAAAAGGCTTTTTGTTTAAATCTATTTGCAACCACAGTGAAATCATAATCCCCTTTTGAACAAGTTTGAGTCTTTTTTTTATCCTTTATTTTACAGATGCTGAGTTTCTGCCTTCTACAAGTTCATCCCCATCCAGCATTATCCGTTATGGTAACAGTAGTTATTTGTTCATCCATACGAAGATGAAATGGGAGGATGCACGAAAAAACTGCAAACGTGATCAATTTGACCTTTCCAGTGTCTTAGACCCCTACAGTCATTCGTTCCTGTGGCTAAAGATATTAAAGTATGGGGTGCCTATGTGGATTGGTCTTAACAGTAATGTGGTAAGAACATCAAACTAATTGAACATAATGTTGCTTCTCTTGTGGACAAATCAGCAACCTAAAAGTCTTGTTATCTCTCTTTACTTTAGCATATTAGTTTGTATCTTGTCCTAAATACTTTTATGTGCTGCCAGATTTACGGGTAGGAATCCATTCCTTTCCATTTCTCTAATTAAATTGTATATATTACACGTTTTTCACACTTTTTCTGTGATATTGCACTCTGTGCATTTCCAAATAAGACATTTTAGGCTAGCAATTTGAAATATATCTCTGTGTATATGGTGTATTTGAGATAAAATCCACATATCTTAAGATTTACAATGGAAAGCATTTATTCTAAATAACAATACCTAATTTTCAGAAATAGAATAAGGTGCTGTTGCTATGACTCTTTCAACATTTTTGAGGATAGTTAGCCAAATTGGTTTACCTAATTTAATTTTATTTGTCTCTCCTCTCCCAGTTCTTTGATAGTTTGATACTTTCTGGATGTTAAAATACACCTCTCTTTCTTCTTGGCACAGACACTTGTCCCATGTTCACTCCGTTTGGCTGAGCACATGAAAAAAATACAAATGAGTGAACATAACACACCACTACCTAAAAACCAGGATTCCCCTAACCCAATGAACAGGGTGGTTCACTGAATTCACCAGCTTTGGTGGGAAATGATTAAGCTTTTAAATATAGTTTAAGTTAAAATAATCTACATTTCTTGAAATTTTGGGGGAAACAGATTGTACAAAAATTAGTCATCAAGCTTTCACTCCTACAAATTATTTTAAGTGAAATTTTTATTACTCCCAAATTAACAATTTTGCTAAGTTCAAAATTAATTCACTGTCACTTACTCTGCATTTCCTTTTGCTGAAAAGCATTTGTTGTGCTGCTCTATTTCTCAATAAATGGCTGGCTGTCACAACATAAATTTGTATTTGTTATTGACTTCTTAAGAAAACCCACCTTATAGCACAAGGTGCTGCATAGACAGACATTTGACTGACAAAGGAATGATTAATGCTTAGAGTTTAATCATTCCTGTTGATTTGTTTTGTTCTTAGACCAATGGGCGTTATGAATGGATTGATAACTGGAGAATGAAGTATACCAAATGGGCTGAAGGGGAGCCAAAGCAGAAAATAGGCTGTGTCTATCTAGATGTTGCTGGAGCCTGGAAGACAGGATCCTGCAATGAAAGTTACTTCTCTGTTTGCAAAAAACCTGATGGTAAGAACTGGAATCTAACCATTGCAATTACAATGGTTATCTCCTTAGAGTACATTGTGCTGGGTGATCTGCTGACATATACTTGGATGCTGTTTTTTATTTCAAGAGCCAAATAGATGAAATCATTAAAATTTACTTGGGTTGAATGGGGCTGCTTTGAAATGAGGGCCAATACATATTAAGAAACAGCTGGTGTGACTGTGAATAGCCATCACTTTACATTAATAATGTTAGATATATTTTGCAAAGCTTAGACTTACATTGCTCTGCTATTTACTCTGATATTGAGTAAGCATGCAAGACCAAAAATCTCACAAATCAAAAGGTAATGAATGTTAGGTAGTAGTCATACAGGTACAGTGTTGAAGGGGGAAGAGCTGAACAACCGAGCCATGACGTGTCACAAGGAATGTTTACTTATAACAGCTTTCCAGGTTTTCCTTCTATAACTGAATAACAAACTTCAGGATGTCTTCTTTCATGTTTTTAACCTGAAACTCTTGTTATGATCATCTGATAATGCCTTCTGCATTCCATGATATTAGGTCATAACCTGTATGATCATGTTCATGTGGGCCTTAATTCAGCAAAGCACCCAGGTGTGAAAATATGTTTGTGAGTAAAGATTTGAGCTGAATTTAAGAATGTGTTAAAAGACTTGGATTCTTTGCTAAATTAGATTTCTTGAGACTAGAGTTGCAGTACTTTTTGTTCATAGATTTAGGACTTTTCCCCATTGTTATGTTGTAGTAAGTAACACAGATGATCAAGATTACATTTTTTTAAAGACCTCAGTGAATTTTCCGACATTTAATTGGAGTAATATATGTATAAGAAGCTTTTCTTTAAATTTTGTGCTTTCTTTTTTAAAAAATTTTTTTAAACAGTTCAAGCTCCCACTGAGCCCCCTCAGCTCCCAGGAAAGTGCCCTGAATCAGAAGGACACAAGTCTTGGATCCCTTTCCGAGGTCATTGCTACTACTTTGAATCATCATCTACAAGAAACTGGGCCCAGGCATCTTTAGAATGTCTTCGACTAGGTAAGCATCCTCCTTAATCAAAGAGCACATCTTTCTGACTTGTTTTTCCACTCTGTGGAAAGCTGAACATGTGCTATGTATTTTTGCGATTTCAAGGATGGTCCCAGTGTTGGACAACACAGTTGCATCCAATTATTGGTTTAATTTGGGAGGAGATGGAAAATAGCTGTCTACCAGTGGCACACACTGTTTTTCATGTGTGTGGGACCAGGCATTAGAGAAGCTGTGTGGCCTGGAAACTTTGTCCTTTGACCCTGCTAAGAGGTAGTCAGCCTCATCCACAGCAGTCACTAAATCTTATTTTAATGACATTTTATATCTTTTTTATTCCTGACCTAATTTGCCCCTTCATTATTGCATTATTGTAGTTTTATGCCACTGGAATGAAAGTTACAGCTCTCTAGGCTGGATAATATATTAGTAAACTAGGCTTGTTGTGTTGTTGCATTCTTGCAACTTCCTTCTCTGGGAAAGTGATGTAAAATTCGTTATGTCAGACTACGTCTGTAGCATTGATGTCTATAGCATTGGTGGCAGTGCAACTTAGGTGTTTAACCTCCCGTTAGAGTATGCAGAGATCTTGTTGATGATGTCAGTGGAACTGAATACGGATTCATCTTCACTAGAAGTATATATTGACATTTCGTCAGGTGACCCTCAACTCCACTGACTGGGTCGATTAGGTCTCCACTGATAATAAACCCACCAGCGAAATCCATGTCAAATACAAACACCTAGAGCTGGGTAAGAAGAATCTCATTCTTTCTGCTGGTACTCAGGTTCATTCTTGGGTTCTCATGAACTACTATGTCACCAGCTCCAGTCTGAGAAACTAGGTTTTTTGAGGGAAATTTCAAGTTTTTAAAATCATGTTCTTTAAATCTTACTATATTCTCCACATCAACATTTGCATAATGTTCGAATGAAGATACTTTATAGTATACTTTTAAATACAGAAAAGTCTCCATAATACAATACTCTTGATGTAGGTCAGTCTTTAAGACTATGACAGTTGTTACAGGGTGACCCGTTACCATACAGCCTTTTAAGTTCTTTTCTTGACATGACAGGTGCTCAGTCTTTGAAAGCTGCGATGTATGTTCTTTGTTATGCATAGTCAAAAGGACCTTGACAGTTGTGCAGATAATAGCTGTTATCTGTTATCTGCAGTTCTCTGCTTTAAGTGGAATGATTATAATTTTGAATAAGCTTGTGCAAGAAATTAAATAACATTTCTTTTCTTTGGAGAACTGAGTTTCTGAAACAGACTTTCAATAAGAAGAGTAGGGCAAATAAATGAAAGAGTTTTAAGGTAAAGTTTGAGAGGAATTGAATGATGATGTTGCATGTGATAGCAGGTACCTCCACTCACTGATTCAGCTTGTCTGCAACTGTCCCACATCTTTGCTGTTGGAATCTGCAGTTACATCAGAATTGCCTTTTTCTGTTGAACTAAGATTCCTGAAAAAAGGCACTGACCATTTGTTTCAATGTGTGTGGTAAAAGACTGGCATTATGTGGAATTTAAAATTTGAATGCTATTATACTTCAGACTTCATGTCACTGACATCCTCTTCTCTTCAATGCTACCCTTAATCTTTCATGGTAATTGTTAGGGCAGGCTGAATCCAGTAGCCCAGTAGAGGCAAAGTTGCCATGGCTCTGTGCTCCCAAGTCCAGACAGTGACAAGGCTGAGAATGTGTTCCCTGTAGGCACACACACACATATACAACACATCTATACATACATTCATGGCCAGCCACACAGATCAAGCCAGACACACAGACCACTCATACGAACACAATCTGCACCAACACCCTTATTGTATTCCCCTCTCCAGTTGATCAGGATGAAGGTCTGTTTGTGGGAATATATACAGAAATACAATGTGGATCCCTGCAGCAGCTGGGCTCAGATACTCAGTTTGCCCGGTAGCTGGCCCATGGATCTCAGTGTCCTCAGTTGCTGGGACCGTGAAATACGAGCCCCCATGGCCACCAGCCTGGCTTCTGTTGCTGGTACAGACCCTGTCCCTGCCACACACTCACTGGTCCCTCCAGTAGTCAATCCCCCATAGAATGATTTTGACCCATGAAAATAGTTAGAAGTAGAGTTTAATGAGACGATAGGACTGTCTGCCCACATCAGGCACAGGGCATGACCAGACAACTCTGCTGACCAGCAAACTGTTTACACATGACTAGTCTTTTTATCCCCTTATCCATCTGTTTTCCGATGCTTGTTCCTCCCAAATCATCTAGGTCCATCCCTTTCCCTGCCTTTGGTTCCGCCCCTGAACATCTCATAATAAGTCTTCTGCAATCTTGAAATGCTCTTCTGTATCCCATCATGTGTCCCATACCCCCAGGTGGTAACTCCCCTCAGTCTGAAAGGTACTCTGACATTGACTTGTCTTGATGGGTTTCATGCCTGGACACTAGAGCTCAGGCCGTCCTGTAACAGCCCTACGAGGGGCCTGAGCGGGATCTCCCATTCTCTGAGTCTATAATTTGAGTTCTTGCCCTGCCATTATGCCTCTTTGCTCCTCTGGGCTTGTGGAGATTGGCCTTCGATGGGCTGGTGGTTCCTGTGATGGGCCTGGGAGTAGCCAGGGAAGGGGTTCCCCATCTGCCATTGTCTTTCTGTGCTCCCACGTGGATGTGCAGTGCAGCTTTTTATCACGCAACCTAACAGTAACCAAACATCTGATACCATTCAGCAAAAGAGGAACAATTAGAAAAATATAAAGACTACAGTAAAAAAAGAGGAACGTTCTGTATTCTTTTATATTCTGCTGTCCCTGCTTGCACTCTGGGTTTTGTTTTCTGTTGGACATTTTGCAATTATATCTTACCCATAGTAGAATTCTACCACAGTAGAATTTATCAGTAGCTCAGCAGTGATTCAAATGACTTTTATATTTTCATTCTCTGTAACTGTGCCTTCCTTACCTGAGAAAAAATACCTTCAAAAATTCAACAGCCAAATCAACACAGTCAAGTGTCAAACACAGCTATTGCTCCATACCTATCGACTAGGTATGCTAAAGAAGAAGATACGCTTTCTCCAGTGTTTAATGCCACTCCATACAAAGTCGTGTAGCTCATTCTGTCTGCTGTGACTTCTTGACTTTGCTACAGCGTCATACAGAATGAATCATTATGGCAGATTGCCTAGTGTTGTATGTGGATGTCTAACATGGTACTACACTAACAAGGCAACAGATGACCAAGACAATCTATCTTTCTCTGGTGGCTACAAGGAGAATGTAGGAAAATAAACATGACCTGGTTGAAGAGTTACACCAAGGACTGTGCTTCAGAAAGTCCGCAAACTCTGTGTTATACATGAGCTATACAAAGGCTCAGAAAACATTTAATCATTAATATGCAAAGTTATATGGTGTACAGACTGAAGTTGTACATACTTCTTAAGTAAAACTTTTAATTTTTGGAGTGTTTTTTGTTTTTTTTTTAAACAGTAACACATCAGCAGAAGTTTATGCTTGATACCATATTGGCCTGTTGTGTTTTGCCTAGAGTTGTTATTCAGTAATGTTGCTATTTCCTAGTGGATGAGGAAACAAACAAAATGCTAGTGCATTGTCATGGTAATAAGAAATACATCAACAACAATGCCAGAGTCCTTCATGAGATATTATCCAAAGTTAGTTTCTGTTTTGAACTTTAAACTTTGTTTGGAATTTGGCACAGATAATCAGTACAAAAATAAGACTGACATTTGACAGAATGCTTTCCACGGTGAACTTATGTCTCTAAGAGATTTTCTGTTTTTCTTTGTGTCTTCCAGGTGCCTCTTTGGTATCAGTTGAAGACTCAGCTGAAGCCAACTTTCTGGCATACACCATTGAACCACTTGAAGGGAAAACATCAACTTTTTGGACAGGAATGTACAGAAATGTGGATGGTAATTTCTTTACTTTTGACATCTTTTTGTTTGGTGAATAATTGTCACAATCTGTTTGACATGGGTGTTGAAAATGTCTGTAATACATAAAAAGTTAAATCAGAAAAGATAATATATTATCATCATAGGGGAAGCTGGTCAATTGTAATCAAGCAATAACCAGTAATATTTAACGGAAAGATCAGGCACAGAAAGTTCACCGTAAAGCAAGAAAGGTAATTCACAACAAAATAAGGCACAAAGGTGCCCACAGCAGAGTACAGACAGGACTGTTGGAGTTGAGCCAAAGTCAAATCATTCTTCTCAAATGTGGAGAGGCCCTCTGTTGATGTGCTTATCTTTGAGATACTCCAATTTTTGAGCTAGAGAATAATGTGGCTAATATCACCTCTAATCTTTGGAATCACCATCCTGGAATTACCAGTCACCCATCTTTAGTTACAGAACAGCTTCACTTTGAAGCCGGAATCATTTGTGTCTTTGGAATTGTGTATCACAAGTTTTTCTATTTTCTGCCTCACTATAAGGAAGGTAAGGTAAGAGAGAACAGGCAACAGGCTGCTTTGATTAAATCTTAAATTTGCCGATTATTGCTTTTTATTAATATAGTATTCAATTAAATAGATATTTCTGTCTTTATGATGGACCTAAAAGCTACTTAAGTCTTGTGCTGTTCAGACTAAAAACTCTAGTGTAACAATGTCAGAGGCAGGACTGCAGAATGGTTTGAGTGACCTGGGGTGGGGTTTTCCTGAGTTTTGGAGAGTTTTTTGTACAACTGTGTGCTCAACCACTTCAATGACAAAATGATTGGGGAGAAGACACATATTCAATTACATTACTTGAATCTTAACCAGGAAAATTGAAAGTTTTGAGTAGAAGAGAAAGGAATTTGAAGAGAGTAATGATTTATAAGCATAATACATAAAGAAAAGCTGAAGTTTACCTTACAATGTTGTTAATCGACACATGAAATGTTTTTTAAAGCGGTTCTAGAGCAGGTGCAAAACAATACAGTTCTTACAGTGATCATAAACACAACACCTGCTTCAGCAAGTACATGTCATTGTATTACTAGGTAGTGATTACAGTGATTTCAGCATAACTGTATAACTAAATTTCACATCTTTGGAAAAGTGATTGTATCCAGATGCCATGCCCTGACACAGAGAGTGGAAAGTATTTAAAAAAAAAAAAACAACCAAAAAAACAACCAAAATACCCAAGGCAAAATATGAAGAATCTTACAAGAAAACAAAACATAGCTTTCATGCTGAGTCTAAGAATTTGCTTGCTTGAGTACAACTTGAGTCACAAGGAGCACATTTATTCTAAATAAATAACACTATTAAAAGAAAGAAAGAAAAAAAGGAACAGGAAGGAAGAGACAGAAAGTCCCAGCATAGTTGAACAACAGTGATCACAAGATTTTTGAAGCAGATCTTTAAAAAGGAAAATTGTGCATGTAAAGTCAGTGGGAAGCAGCAGAAACTGAAAAACAAATGGAAGAAAATTGGACTTAGAAAGACTTCAGTGGGGGCTTTGAAAAGAATAATACAAAACCTCCCTACAAATTACTGACATAAAGAGCTATCTGTTGAAGATAAATTATCTTTTCACATCAGTAATTTCTATAAACTGAATAAATGACACCGCACTGTTGCAATAAATTGTGAGACATAATTCTTTAAACTTTCTTGCCTTTGCAACATCATAACTCAGATTGACCTGCCATTTTCAAAAAACTGATGTATCATTTGCATAAAAACTTAAGGGCAACATGATGTGTCAGACCAAAAATCTAAATAGTCTAATGGCCTATCTTCAAGAGTGGCCACAAGTAGATATGTCAGGAAGGCAGTAAATGTGGAGCAAGTGTGAAGATGGAAATGAATAGTATCTTGTTTTACCATATTCAATGTTTTCTTCTATTAGGAGAATGGCTGTGGCTAGACAACACTGCAGTGAATTTTGTCAACTGGAATGTAGGAGAACCTTCCCCTCAACAAAACGAGCACTGCGTTGAAATGTATGCAAACTCTGGGTACTGGAATAATATCTATTGCTCTTCCTACAAAGGCTATGTTTGTAAAAAGCCAAAAAGTAAGTGCTACATTTACGAATTTGTTTCATGTACGGAGTATGCTTTTTGTGTGCTAGTATTAGTATATGGCCATTACACACAGTTCATTTTACCTGGGTGTTTTGAGGTTTTATAAATGCGAAGGGACGCACATTTACATGCCAACAAAAAGAAAGAATAACTCTTGTCAGAAAGTAGAAGTGCTGACCAGTGCTCAAGTCCTTTCAGAACTGTTTGAAAAAGACTGTGTTCCTATCTTAACTGTACCTAGTGTATACACTTAACAAGTTTCCCTGTTCCATATCAATAATTGTTGAGTAATCACAAAGTTAGTACTGTGCCTTGCACACACAAATTTGTCTCACCTATTTGCAAATACGTTCCTAGAGTATCCCCTCTGCTCAGCCCGGGGAATACCCTTTGCTTATTTCCCTCTGGCAGTCTCACGTGCATGTGTTGTCTGAGTACGAAGTAGTGTTTCTATGAATTGAGTATTTATGAATTATGAATTAATGAACAGTTTTGGACCATTTGTCTCTGTGTTCTCCTGTTTTGAGAAGATGGAATGAATGAAAAAGCAAGGCAAATAGCATAGCCTGAATGTGCTAAACTGAAAGAGTCATGAAATAATTGAATATGCAAATTTGACAGTAAGGACATCTAGTGCATATGTGTTCCTAAAAGTCATCATAATTTCTGCCAGCATGTACTGCAATCTTCCAGCACGTACTGCAATATCAAAATCTCTTACTAATGTTTACTGAGAAGAGTGAAATACATGTAGTAGCTGAAATATGCCCACTTCCTCTACAAGACTGGAAATGAGAGAAATTCTGCTATCCTTTCTATAAATTTGCTCTCATGCAAAATTATTCTTACTTACTCAGATGCTTGTAATAATGACTGTATCTTCTACAGGAAATACTGCAGAACTGTCAGATATAGCCATCCGTTCAGAGTCTACTTACACATCTTTTTATATTGTGACTGGCAAACAAAAAGGAACTTTATTTTCATTCTCCGTCCAGAATAGTCATAGATGTAGGTAACAGGTATTAGAATCAGTGGTGACCCTTCCTTTTCCACCATTCAACTCACCTGCTTGTGCTGGTACTGGCATTCACCTGTTTTGATACTGAGCCATTTCAAGGAGCTGAACCAGGTGAAACGTAGTTACTTTTTTTTTCAGGATTAGCTTCAGGCAGTCTAGCATCCTGAGCTGGAATGACCTGGAGTCAGCCTAATGCCAGTGTCAAGGCAAGGACTATATAGTTACTCACTCAGGAACAGGACACAATTGAGTCCTACACTGTTGTAGAAATGTAGCTTTACTTGGCACAGTTTTGCAAAGCTGTGATAATGCTTCATTTGCAGAATTAAAAAAATGTATTAAATAGCTATAGGCTAATAAATGGGGCGTTAGAAGCATGACTTTATTTAGTTGCACTTTCTATGGCTTGTTATGTTTGCTATTTTCTAAAGAGATTGCAAATGCAAAACTGTGACTGAAGTCTTCCCATAGAATACATGCTATTTTCTGTTGCATTTATTGAGATAATTTTTTACCATAGTAATCTGAAATTCTGTAGTGGGTCTATTCCATAAATAACCTAAATTTATTTTGTAAGTAAGGAGGTACTCCAAAGATCTGTTCAGCAGTTCAATAGGTGCTAGTTAATTGTGCTACAAATAGTGACTGGGTGTATTATGTTCATGGCCTCTCAGTCTCACTTTTCATGAACAGCAGATTCATATCCCTAAATATACCGCTTGTTTAACATGTAGGTAGGTCTAGCATGCGGTCATCTCATACCAAAATCCAACAGTGATGTGTATAATATGCATGATCAATGCTATACCAAACTTGATCAGTCAACAATTTTGGGCGAGGAACAATTTGAGGAACAAATTGTCTAGGTTATTATATTCCAAAAAATTTCCAGTCAAATGAAGCAATGCAGTCAGAGGATTATTTTCCAAATGTACATAATGTAAATTATTTCCTTGTTACATTTCTGAGACTGATTTTTACACTGTGCTTACGGACATAAGGTAGCATTATCTTCACAGAATCACAGAATCAAAGAATGGTTGAGGTGGGAAGGGACCAATCCCTGCTCAAACAGGGCCACCTAGACCCAGTTGCCCAGGATCATGTCTAGATGGATTTTGAATATCTCCATGGACGGAGACTCCACAACCTCCCTGGGCAGCCTGTGCCAGTGCTCCGTCACCCTCACAGTGAAAAAGTGTTTCCTGAAGTTCAGAGGGAACCTCCTGTGTTTCAGTGTGTGACCATTGCCCCTGGCACCACTGAGGGCAACTGGTAAAACAATTTAATTTCCTGGGCTCACCTTTTTCAGAATGAAAGATGATGCATTGATTCAAGACTTAGTTGTAGACTGATTTTATGTCCACATGGCAAAATATGGATTTTCATCTTCAATGATAGCCTGGTTTTCCCAGCAAGCCAGATTTTGTGGTCCAGATATTAAATTTTAAATGAGCTACAAACATTTTAGTTTGGATGTGATATGTACTAAGACACTTTGGAGTTCATGAGTGATTTTGCTTGTCTGTGTAGGTAGGCCATTAAAGTCTCTTGGCAAACCAAATTTATTACACTTGCTATGTTTATATAGAATAACAAGTACTGCAAGAATTTGTCATTATATTGAGGATTACGTTTGAGCATCTCTGTCCTGAAGATACTGTGTAGATTTTCTTGTGGTTCTACACTGATGTCAGGATCTATCTCCATGGAGCTCTTTGATGTTTCTTCTTTTCTGCTAGTGTAAATACCTATGTTTCAGACCATAATATGATAGACCATTGTGCTATGCCTTTTGATAGGTATATATAGCTTTGTATGGATTAAACCAAGGTGTTTTCAGTATTTAGTGGTATGTATTACTGTATATTTCTCTGAATATGATTTTCAGTATGTTCCATATAATATAATTATAATACAGAAATAAATAACAGAATAGTATAATAACATAATTCTTTTTCAATGTTTTAAAATTCCAGTAACTGAAATGCCACCTGCAGCTGAAATGCCACCAGCTGAAATGCCTACAAAGGGTAAGAATATTTTCTTTCCATTAGAAAAAAATTAGTCCTATCATAAACAAAACAAATAATCTGTATTATGTCTCTTACATTTTCTGATATACCTGAGTACCATATCTGTTTCCTAGGAGCATTTTATTTCCTAGTAGAATACAGTACACTCCATTCAGTGTTCAAATGCAGATTTAAAAACATAATAATTTGTGATGTAGCATGCAATGTTAGCATTTTAAAGTCGATTAATTTTATGTTGCTAGCTTTGTCTCACATTATCTTGAAACAAATGGAACGCTTTTGCTTACAATATTATGCTTTCTAAAGATATTGTTTCCAGTAATCAGATAAAGAATATATAGCATCGTCTTGATTTCTTTGTGTTTGTTTTCAGCAATGACAAAGGATGAGAAGGCTCCTACTCTGAACCACGGTAAAACGGGAGTTGTAGTTATTGTTGTCATCCTCATCCTAGTTGGAAGTGGCCTTGCAGGCTATCTCTTCTACAAAAGAAGAAAGAATCGCTTGTCAACAAATGATAGCTTTGAGAACAATTTGTATTTTAATAGTGATGCAGTTCCTGGAACTAGTGACACAAAGGATCTTGTGACCAACATAGAACGGAATGAACATGCGACACTGTAATGTAACAAAATGAAATGTAATGTAATATGTAATGTAAAATGTAATGTAATAAAATAAAATGTGCCTTGTTTTAATAAAATTATGCAATTAGAATTAAGCCAAAGCTATTTTCTCATGTGCAAATACTGTAGTAGCCAGTTTCAGTGGATGAGTAATGTTATATACAGCAGTTACTTTATTTTGTAACCATTGTATAATAAGTAAGACTTCAGATCTCACGATCTGATGGCCCACACTGATGAGTGTGGGTCTTAAGAGATAATATTAACTAATTATCAAATGGAACAATAGAAATGGATGCAATAAAAGAAGTAAAATGTAGATAGATGCACTTGAGAAGGCTCCCCAGATTTCCGGTTTCTGCAGCACGTTTATTTCAAACCATGCTAATGCATAGATCCTCCGAGCTCTTCAGGAAACATCTCTCTCATTCTACCATCTTTCAAGTATTCCTAGGGACTTAACTGCAGGGGCAGTCTGTATTTAGGCACATCTTATTTGAACCACGTGGGGAACAAATCCTTTTATGACAGAATTTCAGTTCCCACAATTTCACACAGCACAGAGAACCAAGTGTGTAGTTCTTGTAGTTTATGTATTCCAGGATTTAACCAGCTAAAATCCAGGGGCAGGCCTCTGGAATGGAGAAGTGTGATTGGTGATGACTGCCTGTGTTCTGGGTTTGTCTGGGAGAGGTGATGAAGGCCATGGCAAAATTTCCTTCTTAACAGGACAGGAGATAAAATTTCCTTCCTGAGGAGAGGGAGGAACACTACTTATACATGTTCTGAAGGTTTGTAGGAGCACTGGATAGCTGTTACGGTGATCACATGTTGGCACTGCTCTCCTGCAGCCTCTCAGTAAGTACCATAGGTTTGTGGGGTGTGTGCTGGAAGTGAAGAACAATTTAGCTTTACCGGTGTATTAGTTACTACTGATTTTATTTTCTTTCTAAAATGGCTAGATCAGTTACCATTTAGGGAAATCTTAGATTCCCAATGTGGAGTTTATATTCCTAATTTTTGTAAATCTTGTAAAATGTAAATCATGCATGATTCGTCACTTGCTTACAAAAGTTTGCAAGGTTTGGTTTTGTGGTTTCGGATTTTGTTCTGCGAAATAAACAGTAACTAGCTTTGATTTTTTTTTTTAAAATAGTTTTTCATTTTATAGTCTCATCTATATAAGTATCTGTAATAGGGTAAAGTTAAAAAGGAAATGATACAACCATTCCTTCCAAACTTGTGATCGAGTGATATATTGACCATATTTTCCTGAATCTGTCCAGGGATTGTCTGCTTAAAACTAAGACAAAAATGCCAGCTGAGTAATTTAGTAAAAATCTTGAATTACATACGTGTGTAGATAAGGTGGGGAAATTTGTCCAGGAACTTTTTTTCTCCTCTGGCTCTGCTCCTTTTCTCCCAGTTATTTCCTGCCTCTGTTCCTATTGCTATTTCCATTTTTAATGCACAGTTGTTTGAGCATGTCTTTTCAAGGAGTAGTGCTTCTGATGGTTCTTCATGCCACCTGATGTGGCTTATGTGTCAGAAACCTCCTGAATGACTGATTTATGATATTAAGGAGGACGTCATTTCAATTATATGGAGAAGTGGTGCCAGCTAGAAAGGTATGTGAAAGGGACAGGGAAAGGTTGAGAAGCCCTGGCTGGAATCCTAGCCTCACTGCATTAATTTGTTGTGCAAACAACAAATAGATGCAATCTCTACCCAAAAGAAGTTCAGTCCTGTTCTGGGGCCCTGCGCAATCTTAAGGCAATGATTCTTCCAGATAACATTTCATCACATGTATGTATGCAAATGTATGATTGGAAAGAAAATAAAGACTGAGGGGATGTCATATTTCTGGTGCTTTGCCGTACTTATCAGTGCATCTCTACAGCTAAAATGTGTCAGGGGGAGAATCCAGCTACTGGACCCTGGATAGTCTTGAACTTTAGCAAGACTGTGAATGAAAAAAAAAAAACTTGACAGATTTTTCAGAAGAGGAGGAAATATCAGCTCCATGGTTTACTGTCCCTCCTATTGCAATACAATGCAATTGAAGCAAATTTCCCACTAAAAAGAGCAAACATGGTAGCAGTGGCATTTACAGCACAGGGAATCACTACAGTTCCATGCAGTAAGCTGAAGATAAGTACTGATACGTGGGTTTGTACGCAAACCCTAATAGGAATTTTTGAAGACAATGTAGAGAACAAGCTTGAACACTTTAACAAATATATAATTAATATAAGCTTAAATGGAAAGCTTTTACTTAGGGACTTGTAATTACAAAAAAAAAAGATTTCTTGTTTTTTTCATTTTGGTGGGATTGGTTTGTTTTGTTGGTTTTTGTTGTTGAGATTTTTTGTTTGGTTTTGGGTTTCGGTGGCCTTTTTTTCCCCCTAGCTAGTACCTTTCAGTGATGGTAACTCATTTATTTAACTGTCTGAATACAGAGTCAAGCCCCAGGTTTTTAACATCATCATTACTTTGTCATGCTTGTGACAAAACTGATCATACAATCTCAAGAAAAATTGAGAGACTGGTTTCCAAACAGGTATTCTCTTTCCCCACTCTCATCTTATTTCCATCTTCCCCGAACTGAGGACTTGTGTAATGGTTTTACCAAAGATCATTTGGTGATCTGGCATTATGTCCTCTTTTCCTGCTGCTAAGCTGCAATGTTCCTGACAAGTGATTGACTACATCAAAAAAGTTTCTAAGACTGGGCTGGGGAAATTATCCATGTTGGTCTATTTGACTGAAAAAAAACCCCAATGTGCCTTCTTGGAAGTGGTTCATAATCATATTGATGCGATGTAATTTGTTACTTAATGTATTCTGATCCATCAACAATTCTTTAAACCAGTCTCTACTACTGGTTGCTATTCCCATTGGGATCAATCAGTTGCCTTAGAACCGCCCTGTTGCTCTTGTGATCTCTTATTTTGTCTCCTGATAGGTGCCACTACTTGGGGGAGGTTTCAGGCTGTGTGTTGCATAAACATACATTCACAGAGCATGGTGGGTTGACCCTGGCTGGAGGCCAGGTGCCCACCAAAGCTGCTCCATCACTCCCCTCAGCTGGACAGGGGAGAGAAAATATAGAGAGAGGCTTGTGGGTCAAGATAAGGACAGGGAGAAGTCACTCACCAATTGCCATCACGGGCAAAAAAGACTCAACCTAGAAAAAATTAATCATCTAATTTATTACCAAGCAAATCAGAGTAGGATAATGAGAAATAAACCCAAATCTTAAAACATCTCCCCTCACCCCTCCCTTCTTCCCAGGCTCAACTTCATTCCTGATTTCTCCCCCTCGTCCCCCCCCAGCGGCACAGGGGGACAGGGAATGGGGGTTGTGGTCAGTTCACCACACATTGTCGCTGTCGCGCCTTCCTCCTCAGGGGGAGGACTCCTCACACTCTGCCCCTGATCCAGCGTGGGGTCTCTCCCACATGAGACAGTCCTCCACCAACTTCTCCGATGTGAGTCCTTCCCACGGGTTACAGTTCTTCATGAACTGCTCCAGCGTGGGTCCATTCCACAGGGTGCGGATCTTCAGGACCAGACTGCTTCAGTGTGGTCCCCCACGGGGTCACAAGTCCTGCCAGCAAACCTGCTCCAGCCTGGGCTCCTATCTCCATGCAGCCACAGGGTCTGTCAGGAGCCTGCTCCAGCACGGGCTCCCAGGAGTTAAAGCCTCCTTTGGGTGCATCCACCTGCTCCAGCGTGGAGTCCTCCACGGGCTGCAGGTGGATATCTGCTCCACCATCATCCTCCATGGGCTGCAGGGGGACAGCCTGCCTCACCATGGTCTTCTCCATGGGCTGTGGGGTAATCTCTGCTCCGGCACCTGGAGCACCTCCTCCCCCTCCTTCTGCACTGACCTTGGTGTCTGCAGAGTTGTTCCTCTCACATCTTCTCACTCCTTTCTCTGGCTGCACAAATGTGGCTCCTAGGGTTTTTTTCTCCCTTCTTAACTCTGTTATCCCAGAGGCGCTACCACCGTCGCTGACGGGCTCAGCCTTGGCCAGCTGTGGGTCTGTCTTGGAGCTGGCTGGCATTGGCTCTGTCAGACATGGGGGAAAATTCCAGTGAATTCTTGCAGAAGCCACCCCTGTGGTCTCCCTGCTACCAAAACCTTGCCACACAAACCCAATACACAGGGGAACTGGGATCTTACTTTTCTGAAATATTCTTGCTGTAAAAACAAGGAAAATAATCTCTTGATAAACAAGATGAAACATAAGTGATGGGTAGAAAAGCAAAGGAAATTTTTAACTGCTTACTAATAATTCACATCTATAATCTTCTGATTCTGCCAAGATTTATTATGTTTGATCTTGGCAGTTTAGATAAATGAAAGAAAAAAAGTTGATTACGTAGCATGAAAATATAGTGTGAAAGTGCCTCATGTTGCTGTTTCAGTATGTTTTGAGCCCGTCTAGAGAAATGGAAAGGTTGTTCACTCTCTGGGGTTTTTTTAGGCTAGGATGTTTCTACCAAGGTTTAGAGCATGTCTTTTTTAAAAAAAAAAATGTTTTCAGATGGAAACTGTGATTATGCTATATGTGGGGATTCTGCATTGAAATCTTATATCAAATTATAGCAGGCTAAATTATTGCAAAATTCCTTCCAGATTTTAATACCAGTGGTTTTTTTAAAATGAATTATGTAACTTCTGTAGGGAAGCATCTGGTTGAACCTGGATGGACTCACCCACGCATTTCTGTGGGCAGCTGAGGAATGACTTGATGGCAACATTCGACAGCATGTAAAGGTTTGTCTCTCTGCATAGTGCTACGTTTCTTGATACCCTTGTGCTTAGTTTTCATTTCCCCTTTCCTCCAGAAGAGCTCAGACTTCAGAGGAAAGGTGGTGAATCTGCACACTGTGAGTGTAACTTCCTGCCTGGGAGCAGAGATTGCTGAAGGAACAATGCTGACTCAACACAAAACCCAGCAGCCTTTCTTCCTTGCCACTTCTGAAATTTCAGGCTGTGCCTTGCCAAGTGGAAGATGCTGGAGTGCATCTTTGCAATTTCCTGATGTTTTTCCCCACTTTGTGGGCTGTGATGGGGTTTGCTCAGACAAACATACAAATGCCGAGGTG